GGCCCAGGTGGCCCACCCCGTTCTGTGGCCTATGATTAGTAAGTGAGTGACAGTAAAGTAATTCCTGAAGAAATAAAGTGCGAGTACAATAAGGGGTTAAACTTCATGTTGAGGTTTTTTGTACGTTCTATTTCCTTTCCCAGTAATATAGCTTGCTTGACTAATATCAATAACATCAGATTTTTGAGCACTCTTCATTTTGCTGTACTCACCAATCAGGTTTCCTGAAAGAAAATGTAGGACGTGGAAACAATTTTCAAAATTGCCTACCTTGAAACAAATAGTCAATTTATATAGATTTTTCCAAATAGTTTTGATGCCTCCCCCCTAAAAAAAAACCTGTTAAAAAAAAAAAAGGTTGAAAATGTTAAAAAAAGAAATAAAATCCCCAGATGAAACATTTCTGTTTTTTTTCATTTTGATATAATGTTTTAAAACCTACTTTTTGAATGAAAAAGGATTAAATCTGAAATGAAATGCTTCAGTTAGTCTGAAATTTATTTATTTATTGTTTCTCTGAGAAGGCTGAGAAAGATAATTGTATCTCATCAGCTTGAAATGATATGTTTTCAGTTTTGCTGTTCTGCCGTGGGCCCGAAAACTCAATTATTCACTCAATTCTGCTCCTAAATCACATAGGACCTCTCCGTACCACCTCAGAACTGGTCTAGGGAGGGCTGCCATGAAGCTTGTCGTACCTGCTTTGCACGTATGACACCCAGAAATGGATGCATTATACCCAAATCAGTTGGCACGTACCACTAAGTACTTCCAGGGCTGAGAGTTTATTGGCATCCACCACTGTTCTAAAGTAGCCACATTGCATCTACTTCCAGGTTTAAGCTGCATAGAAAGAGGGGCTATGATTAACTGCATCACTCCCTAGTACAGTGTGGAGGCTGTATAGCTAAGTCCTTAGGCACTTCTGGAAATTTTACCTGTAGCTAGTATTATGTTGCACTTAGATTATTTATTAAATTAAAATAATCCTTAAAATGTGAGTTATAATATTCAGCATTCAGTTACAGATCAGCTACTTACTTAAACTTATATTATTTAAACAAAATGCCTAAAATATAGAAGGTAAGCCTGTCATATATACAAAGTACCATATCATCATGGGCCCACATCCTCATATGGGCAAGAGCACTGATCAGTGTACCTGAGGGCAGGGTGTGGGGATAGAAGTGGGAGGTTTCCTCTATCTTTCCATCCCTTTCCCATGATGTCTGGGCAACCAGAAACTGGAGCATTATAAACCCAAGAAGCCAGAATGATTAGACTCTATTTTGAGATCAGAATGGCTTGCCCAGTGCCACACTGCTCAACCTACAGGAATTCCTGGCTTTCTGTCATGCTAACTGTGGAGATGCAGTGCATCTCTAATATAAAATGAGCATACTCTTGTCCATATAGTGTATAACAGGGCTGTCTCAACTGGTGGCCTGCCTGCAATACCAACATGCCATCAAGCCCTTTTTTGGTTTCTTGGGTTTCTGCCTTGCTGATGCTCCTCCCAGCACTGCTGCTGCTGCTACTTGCAGGGTCTCTGGGCTCCCCCTTCCTTCTTCAGTTTGTGCTTCCTTCCCTCACACCTGGGGGTAGAGCAGCACAGCCTTATTTCACATAAACAGGTAAACCTACTGTTTTTCTCTGTAGATGTGGAAGCCCCTAACTATGATGTAATAAATAATCTTCCTGCTTATTTGAATCAAGTTACTGGAAACCTTCAGGAAGCAAGTGATTTAAGAAGTCTCTGAGGGGACTTCTGATTCTACAGCCAGGCTTCAGGTGATAGTCAGTGACCTCCTAGTCCATTTGAATTCAAATAGTGAATCCCCTTATGGATGCTGTGTATGTAGGGGCTATAAACATGATTGTAACCTAGCCCCTGTCAAGATAGTCCCCAGCTTATAAAATGGAAAAGAAATATAGAGCCTTTCCTTTTCAAGAATATTGTTAAAGCTGTTGATGCTTGTTCTGCCAATAAAACATAGCCAGATCCTTGATAATGATAAGTAAACTTTCAAAGATTTAGATGTGTATTTAACCCAAATCCAGAAGTCTGGATGATTCTCTGAAACTCATCCAAACCAGAGCTGCTCAAAATATTCACAGTGAAACTGTAAGTACCTGAATATATGTATGACTATCATAGGTTGCAGTGCAGGGTAGAGGTAAGTCAGGGTAAATTAGTCCACACCGCTATGCAACTCTCTGTGTCATAGGAACACCACTGTTTTCTGTACTCAAGGTAGCTCATGTATGGGTCATCTTTACACTGTGCTGGAGTCTGCATTATCAACAATAATCCTGTTATTGTTAATAATAATCCTTTCTTTCTTATCCTGTCCCCAGGAGGGACAGGATAGGAAAGAGGGGGGGGGAGTGGCACTCTATATCAAGGAGCAATACACATCCTCGCTAATTAGTAAAGAGTCAGGGGAGAAGCACTCTGAAGTGCTTTGGGTTAGGGTTCAAGGCAAAAGAGGGGAAAGGGACCTAACGGTGGGAGTTTACTATAGACCACCCAACCAAGGAGAGGAGCTTGACCAGGAATTCTTGGGTCAGCTCACCGAGGTAGCGAAGGCTAAGGATGTGGTAGTCATGGGGGACCTGAACTTCCCAGACATCTGCTGGGAGGAGCAGTCAGCCAGGCCTGAGTGCTCCCGTAGGTTCTTAGACAGAGTCCAGGACCTTCATCTAACCCAGGAGGTGCACAGCCCCACCAGGGGGGATGCCTTGTTGGACTTGGTGTTGGCCACAGGCGAC